CTAAACGATTTTGGAATGCACAAAAAAATGAAATAAGATATGAGTTATACATTCCTCAAACTTTCACTTTTGGTGATTTTGGAATACATAAAATAAAAAACTAAGGGATGAGTTTCAAGTTCGTCAAACATTTACTTTGTATTCATAATGCCTAATTTTCTAAAATGCTTCCAAACAAAAATTGTTCTTAAGTGGAACTGTAATATATTAGCTTAGCATGATTACTCTGATGACAACTATTGTAGAAGCAAAGATTATGATGGAGTTTGATACCTTGAATTGTTAAGAAGAGAATAATTTAGTGTAAATGAGCTTGTAATGTATGACCACTTAATGCAAACTAAATACTACAGAAGCCCAGATTGATGAAGTAGGCACAACTAAAGCCTTATAGCTAGTTGTCCAATCATCCCATATCCATGGATGTCCTGCAATGACTATGACCTTATAATCCATTATAATTGAATGCTGTTCTATAACTCAATCATTCACTATGGACTTTTTGGGGACATGTTTGTTGATATCCTATTATATTGACTAAATCATTCACTAATAGTCATTTCAACAATGGTTGAAATCAATAAGGCGATGATAGAGATGAAAATTAGAATTTCCATTCTCTTGGGTATTTTTACCACTCAATATATTTTGCATGTGCTCCAATCTCTATGTCAAGCTCCTAAATGCAAGATCTGAGAATGCTTCGCATATTCGCTAAAAATAAAAGTGTTTAAACATATAATAGCTCTAATCTATATGCTAAAATATGATCCACATGTGCTCCGATATTTACTTTAAGCTTCTAAATGAGAGATCTGATAATGCTTTGCGAATTTGCTAAAAGTGCTTAACAACTCCAATGATGACCATGTTGACAGAAAATCTCAACTGGAGGGGATCCTATACTTTTAAGATGCCTCCCAAATTCCTATTAAAATATAAATATTTTAAAAGTGACTGTAACGTTACCCTGATGATGGTTGTATTGATAGAAAATCTCAACCGAAGCAGATCCCAAACTTTTAAGATGTTTCCCAAATTCCTACGAAAATACAAATATTTTAAAAGTGACTTTAACATTAACCCGATGATGACCGTGTTGATAGAAAATCTCAAGCGAAGGGATCTTAAACTTTTAAGATACTTAAACCCCAATGCAAAATATAAATATATTTAAAATGACAATATAAATATCTCGATGATGACCATATTAAAAATTGATCTCAACCGAAGGGGACTCTATCTTTTCAAATGCCTCCAAATTCCTATAAAATACAAACATTTTCAAATGACTACATTGTCGCCCTGATGATAGCCATGTTGAAAGTGAATCTCAACTGGAGGGGTCAATTCTCAAAGCCTATTAAAATTTCAAAATTTAATATTTATCAAATTCTAAATATTTAAATGGAAATTCCATCATCAACATCTTAAAACTAAATCCATAAACACTTTCTAATGGTTTGGCTAGGATGATGAATTGAATCAGCTTACAAAGAGCATGTCTTGTGGAATGTTTTAGTACAATTCATTCTCAGTTGATTCACTGCTAGCAGGGACATTACACGTGCCCACTGACCGGGTAGTTTTACTACAAAATGGCCCAACTATATTATGGTCACGGTCAAAACTCGTATGCGCTCATTGAGTAATGAATTATAGGGTACACTTTACAAGATATGAAGTAGTTTGCTAAGTAAGGTTAACTTAAATTTATCACCTTAGACAAACATTCACCCAATGTCTACGAGGTATTCTTGGACGAAGCAACCCATGACTGCCAATAAGATTTCTTCTGTCAGGTGGGTCGACTACCTCCTCTGACTAAAGTAGTCCAGGGACCATGATGACCGGGGATAACGGAACCATGGGATTGAGATCGAGCCTATCATTTTCCTATCACCCTCTTGTAAGTGTACGGTGATAAATTTGAAGTAGTAAAAATTCCAAAAATCCAATTTTAAAATCTCTAAAGTTGCTGCTACCATACACTGGGTACTCAGTGCCTATCTCACGACTAGCCTTAATCGAAAGTTATCTCTCATTATCGAGAGGGATAATTAACTGCAGGGGCTTGCGCCTATGAGAAACTAGAACTCGGATTATTAAGTCCTCGCAAAATGAGGGTGAAATATTTTGGTAGTGTCTTATCTAAAGCCCAATCTGCCTTCTAAAAATCTATCCGGAAACCTAAACTTGTTAAAACTCTCCCCATCAATAAAAGAGGTGCGAAGAGGCCAAGGCGCGAATTTTCGGAGCCCGAAATATCTTAAAATCATCTTTGTCACTATCCTATTTCACAATTTTCTTTCCCCTGCCTCTTACTAAGTATTTTAAAGGCATCTTAGTCCATTCAAAATTTGTTGCCCTTGTTTTCTTAACACTTGCGTTAGTTTATACTGTAATTTAAATTTGTACTTCTGTTATGATGTTCTTATCTGAATATTGGTTACATTGCCTCATAATTTGAGTTGCTATGGGCATAATTTGTCTATCAGTTAAGGAAACTAATCTTCTGCAAAAAGTTCTGCTTTCACTATATATTGTCAAATCTTGTGACAAACTTGTGCCACACGATGGGAACTGTGGAAATTATTTGTAAAGATGCTATGGTAGTGTTTGATCCGATGAAGTAGGCTGTCTACATCTATTGAGGCGATAAAATTAGGTGCATGGATCTTTTTGGCAGATTTTTTGGGAATTCTATATTAGGAAAGCAAAGTGCAAACTAATTACTGGTCACTTCCAATTAGTGAAGTTGCTGTACATTTAATAAGTTCTTTAAACTTTAATGGCTATTAACTGTTGCATGATGACATGTTTTTGTGATAATGTAGTATTCAAAGCTCTCAAATTCAATCGCTATTTATTCAGTAGTTGATGAGGACATCGTTCAGAGATTCAAACACGTGTACCGGCGACGGAATCGTAGATCGACGGCTACGATTCATCGTCTTTACTTTTGATGCATTATGTTTTATTTAGTCTTGTTGTATGCATTATGTTTTATTTAGTTTTATTGTTTCCCGATTTTACCCCTATGGGAAGTGTCTTGTTACTGTAGCCTGGAGGACAAGTTTGTACTTTTCTTTTTCAGGTTAGAGACTTATATATATAATGGTTTTATGTGTTGTAGTAGGATGATGAATGATTAAATGAATTTTTGTTTTGTCTTCTTCTTCTTCTTGTGAGCGCACTAGAGAGAAGGGAGAGTCCAACGTGTGGGCAAGCGCAATACCCACCAGTCACCGAAAGAGTCGGTGGCTCGTGTTTTTGTTTTACGTTCTCTATTCTATTTCCGTTATCACCCACCAGCTTCTTGTCATCTTGTCACCTTCATCCCACAACCAAAATACCTCCCCTTGATCCCACCAAATTCCCCTTCCAAATCCCCCACCCGCTGGCCTAGCTCTTGGCCATCTCAACCCGACGCCAAGCCTCATTTTTTCCTCTTTGATCGCTGGCCCCATCCATATCCTCAATCATTATGATGATTTCACTCATCATAATGACCCCCTAATTTGTCTCTTGCAATAAAGGGAGGAGTTAGAAAATTTTGAAATTCAAAAACTTTCCATATTTACAAAATTCTAAATAAGGAAAATTTTCAAATTTGAATCCAATCTAAATTTAATTTAGAGCGGAATTATTACTTTCCCTCCTAATTGGCCTCAACTTGTTTGGAAAGTGCTTAATTCATCCATAATCCCCTCCCCTCTCTCTCTTAATGTTGCCGGCCACATGTAGGGGAAATTTCCTCTTTGCTTCCTAATGAGGCTCCATCTCTAATTAATTTGAATTCAAATTTCAAATTAATTCCCTCCAATTTTACTCAAAATCTGAAATTACTTTCAGATTTGGATTAAAACTTTCTTTCCCCTTCCTAACCTAACCTAACTCTCCTTCATCCAAACCGCCCCCTCTTCTCTACCCTTGGCCGCCCCTTTCTCTTGTGCCTCCCCTCTTGTGAAATCCTAGTTTTCTCATGAATATTGGAGTCAAGAGAAGAAGACAAGTTCCTCCTTCATCGTCATTGGTGCATGGCCGATTCTGAGGTCGATCACGGCTTCGCTTACAACGCCTTAGGAGAAATCGACATTCTCTGCTCCCCCTTCTACGAGCCTAACTGGGAGTACGACGAATCGGTGGAAGACTACGTCAACCGTATTCTCTACTGCTTAGCGGAGATGATTGATCTTCAAAAACCCAAGATGCCTTGGCTTCTCATTGGGAGAGATCCACCCATTCTCCTCCCTCAGCTACCTCTCCGTCAACGAAGGTCTTTGGTACCATCTTCCTAGTGGTAGTCTCTTTTCTCGTATGCTTATTCTTCATCCGCTAACGCCTAAGAGTGATTGAGTGAGAAGGAACTCTAAGTGACTATATCTTGATGTTACGCTGTGGATTTTTGTTTACTTGCTATTAACATTATTATTTTGTTTTCGTAGTTATTTTGATTGTCTTGTTATCCTACTTGTAACTTTTGTCATCACTTAATCTCTTAATGAAAATTCTACGAATTTGACTTGAGTGAAACATAAGTTCTTAGCTAGCAAAGTTCATGTTCAATATTTATTGTTAAAACCTAAGCAACTCTTGTCGCATGTATGTTTCACATCAGTAGTACAAAATGGTATTTATTTTAATGACTTGTTGAAAAGAATAGATGTGAGAATTACGTCAGTATGGAATCTTAATGGAACACACATCGTGGGGACAAAAATAAGGAAACATGCATTGAATATCTTGAATAATCAATTCAATGTTGCTACTGAGTTATTGTTTTAACTAATTTTCTTATCTGAAGAACAGATTTTCCAATGCTATTGTTTTAACTAATTTTTTTAACAATTCAAAGGAAAAACTTTTAACTATGGATTGCTATTGAATTCAACCAGTACGATTCTGTTTCATGGGCTCCTCTTAGATTCATCTTTATAATAGCATTTGGCTTAATGCATTGAATGAGTCACAATTTTTTTTTTTTTTTGATTTTCTAGGCTTTAGAAGAAGCTCTTGAAGAAGTTCAACTATGCTCAAGATTGAATGAACTGTTATTAAAGAAAAAGACTTTTAAAAATAGGGACACATTGGCGACACATAATGAGAAGGTGTGTAAGCTTTTATTTTCGTTCTTGTTGATTTTTGAGTAGCAATTTTTTTTTCTCATTATTAAGAATTCAAATTATCTTTACTGTTACATCTTACATTTGTTATTGGGATGATTATTATTGGATCCAAATTTATTCAGTAAAGATTAAATGAACCATACTTGGGCATGCAGGGCAAACAAAGCTTAAAAGAAGGGGAAGAAGAATGGATTAAGTCTTTGTATTCTCTTAAGTGGAGAACTTGTTAGGACTTCTTCGTGAAGGAGAATTGAATTGTAAGAGTTCTCGAATTCAGTGAAAGAGAGGGAGAGAAGGCATTCATGCCTAAAATTGTGTAAAGCTCGGGAGAGCCAAGTTTGTATTGCTACGAATGATTCAAGCTACTGCAATATTTTTAGACATTTGTTTTGGTCAGCTATGTTGTAGCCGAGAAGGAGAGCCCTCTTCTTGGATGAGTGCTTAGGGTGTGTTTTTCAAGAGAAGGAAAACAAGTATTGCTAGATAGTTGGCTGGGAAATACTCCTTGTTGAAATCAACTCCTAGGTATCACCGACTAGGTATGTGTGTCAAATACCATAGATCGATTGGTTGAGTACTGCTAAAGATAGGAACTATCTGCGTAACTTGCCATGCCTGATTAAGAAACTCTCCATGTTCCTACTCATTATTCAAGCAACCTTTTCCTGGGTGATTTTTAATGGAAAACTTATGATGAATTGTAGCTTCAAAGCGGAGACAGTTTAGTTATCTTTGCCCTAGTGACTACTTCCAAATATTGGCTCATTCGCCATTCTAACTAGAATTGACTTGGTGCACTTGACCCAGGTGAGTATATTTGTACATTAGTTCCCCAATTCTTTTAACTCTTTTGAGAAATTGAGAATATTAGAATAATGACATAATTGAACCACTATTTACCCTCAGGTGCTTTAAAAACATGTTATGCAATCATTTGATTTAAGATTGTGAATTTCATAAGTTGCCATAAGATGATGATGTGTAATTCTCTTCTAGGAAAAGGTTTAATTTTGACCATTCATTTCCTATTTGTTAATATTGACTCCTTGATTTATTGTGATTTATGTACCGCTATCCCTTGCAATCAATAGAGGTGGAAACTTGAAGGATATTTTTCAAATAACCCAGTTTGATTTGTGAAAAGAACACGATAGGGTAATGATGCTTTTGAAAAGGTGTTGTCATTGGAAGAAGAAACTTCGTTTAACCTTGCTTCTACAAAAAAAAAAAAACACAATTTTCTTTTGATGCAACTCGTGACGAAGAAGCTACACTCATCTGGCATAGGAGATTCACATGAGTTCTACTCCATAGATGGAAAATGTGTTGTGCCTTAAGACCTCTCTCCTCTAGTTGCTTTGTTCGGATGTCAATAAAGTTAGATTGATTTGAGATTCTTTATTTGAATTGAAAGTTGCAGTTGGTCGAGCATTTTATAAATAGTCTGTTGAGTATGTTGAATTGACTTGGTCCTTGGTTTGGACAAAAAGGGGTTTATGATATGAGCTTCATGATATTCGAATTATTTTATGAATATTTAATGCCTGTGGGGCTTAAAGTATTTGGCCTATTATTATATTTATTGAAACTTCCATACCTTTGATTGTCATGTAAAGGGAACTTCCTCGAGTTTGAGAATTTTTTTGTATATTTAGTTAATATCTTGTTATTATTTTACTGCTTTTGTCTTATTTTTAATTTGAAGGAGCGTGGGATGACCAGTACACATTAAAGTTTCAATGCCCTTCATTAGCGCATAATGGATTCTACCAAATTTGATATATTTTGAATTTATTTGATAATTTTACCAGATTATGGGCTTGGACATAATGATCTAGTGATTCCTCCACAATGATGGACTACCTAAGTTTAGAGATTTTTGGATTATTATATGATTTATAATCGAATTTAGAAGTTTTTGATTGTTTACATATATGAGGCACCTCAAAACACGTATCCACATTGCTTGGATGATCCACAGTTTATTTGATGAAACCAAGGTTCCATGTGGTTCAGTCCAATCCAATAATCACAACTATGCATTCCAATTATTGATTCGAGGTTCAAGGAATTTGACAAATTTCATGATTTGTTAGATTGGTATATTGATTTGAGATGTCGTTTTGCGATTGAGGAGTTTTTTCCTTCGATGTCTCCACTGGTCTGATAGCTCGAATTAATAAAGGGGGAATGGACAGTCATACATATATTTAAAATTTTTGTTTACTTATGATAATCTATTTCTAATATATTGAAAGAGCCACTAAATTTTCATAATTGATTTTATTAAAATATAAAATTATTGAAAATAAATACCTTTCTCATGTACTGTCGCATATGTAGTACAGTTTTCTTCTTCCGCTCATTTAATTTCGCTAGATGGTACTCATGCATTTTTTTTAAAAATGATAGGAGTGAGTTATAACACAACCCAATTAATACATCATATTTTCAAAGTGCAGGAACACCAATAAATTTTGAAATAATATGCACGCTTGCCTTAAAAATGAAATAATATTATTTAATAATAATTCTATTTAAAAATGATATTATAAATAACATTGAATGAAAAGTTTATGAAAGTAACATTCATATTATATCTTCTGCAATTTTTGGTAAGTAATACAAACGTCACAAAAATCACTGCCTAATTAGTATCAATTTAGGTACACACTTTTCTAATTTATTTGTGCGGGCATGTTTAGTCTCCAACTAAAAAACTATAAAATGGTGTACTCATCCACATTTAATTATTAAGAAAAATTAAAATAGTTGGAAACAACTCAGAAATCATTTACACTGTCATCACTAAGGGGTTACTTTTTGATTCATCGTCATAACAAATTGGTATCTCTCCTATATGATCCTATGAAATGCAATGCCTCTCTATTCACTTCTTCATTTATTTTAATCATCCTCTTCTTTCATAAATGTTTGTCATCAAAATAAAGATAATAGTAATACTCTAAAATTTTTTAAGGAGGTGGTGGTGGTCGTGTGAGGCTTTCAAGTGATCCCGACGATGGCTATGATAGTGGTGGCTACAGTGATAGTGGTGCGTTGGAGATCCAGACAGTCGAGAGAAAGTTGCCGTAGCTCGGGGTACATGAAGGTGTGTTTTGTTCGTGGCTTTAATTTATGATTTATGTAAGTTTATATATATATGAGGCATATGCCTCATTTTAGTGAGATGAGGCGCACCTTAAGGCGGGCCTTAAACAAGCTGAGATGCAGGCCTCATAAAAAAAGCTCGAGGCACAAGTCTCAAGGCATTTTTATAGGTATTGCGCTAAGGTGAGCCTCAAGGGGAGCTTTATATTGCACAATTTTAAACAATGGATAAATCATAAATAATATGTAATAACAATTAATGGATAATTATCAATAATGAATAATACATCCAATTTAGAAGAATCAATATTATTCCCGTAAATTAAAAATATTGTTACTTACCTCGAATTAAAATAGCTAGCTTTTACTCTTTTAGTCCTTAATTTGACTTTGATAGTTTGACTTTTTCCCCTGTAGTCATTAATCTAACTACGATAATTTGACACCTATAATCATACACAAATTATATATAAGATATCTTTACTATCTTAAATTATACATATAAGTATACAAGTTATTTAATAATATCCCTCTTTCATTTTAATTAGTCTATTAAAGGTTCCTAACTAACTCTCATTATCCTATAAAAATCATCTTTAATTTTTTAGTGTGATAAGGGCTTGTTGTTGGTGTTACAATAACAACAACAAGAAGAAGAAGAAGCCTTTATCCACATACGTGGAGTCGGCTACAATAATCTTTTTTCTCCATTGTGTCCTGTTAAGAGTCAAATTCTCATTTAAATCTAATTAAAAAGGTCAATTCTAATATTTTCAAACTGAGCCTTTTTAGGTCTAGCTATACTTTTTTTAACATAGGTCAAATCTAATATATCTATTCGCCTAACAGGGTCATCAGAAGGCCACCATTTTACATGACCAAACCATCTATGACGACTCTCTATAATCTTATCTATCACTGCTACTCCAACCTTTTCACGGATATGCTCTTTTCATATCATCTCTCTAAGGGTAAATCCACAAATCTACCTGACCATCTTCATCTCAACAACTCTCAACTTAATATTATTCTTCTCTTTTAATGATCAACATTCTGCATCATAAAGCATTGCAGGTCTCACCACCATCTTCTAAAATTTTTCGTAAAGTTTGAGTGATACTTTTCTATCACACAACAAACCTGAAGCATTCCTCCACTTCAACCGTCCGACTTGAATTCTACTAATAATATCCCCATATATTTCACCATCACTCTGAACAATAGATTCATGATATTTAAAACGAGTACACTTATTAATGACTTGATCGCTCATTGTCACAAAACCCTCACTAGATCTATAACTACTAAAATTACACTCCATGTATTTTATTTAATATAATCTTAAATTTATTTACTCATATCATTTTATTTATATAATTTAATTTCTCTACTCACATTTAAAATATAAATACATCATGAATAATTACTTTTTTTTAAATATATAATTTATCACTCATTATTTTATTTTATCATGGAGAATTATCTTTTTTTTTCTCTCTTTTTCTTCTTTTCTTTTGCCTTTTTTTTCTTTTTTTTTTCTTTTTTTTTTGTCTCCCTTCTTTTTTATTTTCTCTCTTTTTTTCTCCTTTTTTTTCTTTTTTTTTCTTTTTTTTTGGAGAACCTTTCTTTTTTTTTTTTACACACATAAAACATACATCATATATAAAACATTTAACTGTACATATATAACAATATACATATGACAACATATATAAAACAGTACATGTATATAACAACATATATATCAACTATTAATGACATGGACACTAAAACATTAATAATGTTAATCACATCAACTAATGCTAACAACATATATTATAACTAAAGCTTACCGTGGAAGCAAATGTTTGGAAGTATTGTGCTTTTGGATG